ATCACGTGGCACAAGTAGTCCTGGGATCAGAGCCCTAAATACTCTTCGGGGGAACAATCTGGAGATAAATGAGGCATTCTTTCTGAGTGGTGCCCATAAGAGCCTGTGCTGAAAGCACTCAAACTTCATATATTCCTTGATGACCAGATGTCACATGTTAATGGAGCCCTTCAATATAGGGTTATTGGTGCCCATGTACCTTATTGGTGTGAGCAATGAGTGAGAATAAAGCCTGATCTTATTTGTAAAGGGGTGAGAATACCATACAGAACCATACTTTCTTCTGCAACATGATCTATAATGTCAGGAAGGATCAATTTGGTCATTATTTCCAGTCTTGTTAAGGCTTAGTGTAAATTAAATTAAGGCAAATACTGATTTTAAGGTATTGTTGAGCTGGTGATTATATTTTAATGGTGAAATGAATCAATAAATCATTTTCTAAATGGCTTTTTCTTTGTCCAGGATTCTTCCTATTAATGAACAGAGAATATGAAGACACTATTTTCTCTCCTTTTTTTAATCATATAAAGAAGGTATTTTTAACCTTTACTCTGAGGACAAGTTTTTTTTTTGTTTGTTTGTTTTTTAAACCAAGATGTGTCATTTAATTGGGGCAAATAGTAGATATAAATAAGAAGTAAAAGGCGGGTTATTGTTTACTATACTGTAATTATAAACTAATTCTACACAATTATAGCTCCAGATTAATGAGCATCTAACCTTTATCTTATTTTATATTTAGGCTATTTGTGATATGTCAACACATGGTAACTAGAAGTACATCTGTCTCCAGACAAAAAAAAATGTTACATTTAAATGATGTAGTGAAGTACATTTACAATGACACTTTTAGAGCATTATGAGAAATTGGAGCGATGTAAATATTTAATTAATTAGTTATTTATATATGTAGCTTTTTGAATCGATAAGTCAGACACGTGCCCAGGGCTTGTGACGTCACTGGGTCGTGTTGCTGCTGAGAGGAACTCAACTACCGCAGCAAAGGACGTAGGACACAACAGTCTCCCTGCCAGTCTGCCACCATAACATTATGAGCAAACCTGAAGGCACTGAGAGAGGAGGACAGTCCAACTCCGACAACAGCGAAGAAAAAGACTGGGCAGCTGTCAAAGCATTATTTGACAACGCGAAAACAACGAAGAAGCCCCGTCCGGTAAGAGATTGTTTGTGTACAATAACTGTGAATGACAGCAGCGTCTCCCAATCTACAATGCTAGCAATAATGCTAGAAAAAGCTTATATTATACCAAAGATAGCTGTCTACACTGAAAGCGAGCGCGTTCTAGCGTGTCGCGTTCTTCGCTTGCAGAATCGATGGTGCGTACAGCAGCGCTGCACATAGCTACAGGTAACTGACCACATAGAGCAGCTTGGCTGTCGTCTACAGCTGTTGTAAACATTTGCTTGCTTTTAATTTGCAGCCCAACCCCAGCAACGCTGTAACCATTGCGGTGTCCTCGCGAACGCTGTTTAACATGGTGAAGGAGAGGAAGGTGTTTGTAGAGGAGGGGCTGGAGAGGTACGTCGCGCACCAGCTGGAGCTCGAGGACCAGCCTTTTACCTCAGGGGTCTCGTTTCCTTTCGTTAAGGTAACAACAGGTTTAAGAACTACAAAATGATTTTTCAAACGATATGTAAAATAATGGAACTACTATATTCCAAAACGATCTGAACGCTGTCTGATGATAACACTCACCCTACCTCCATCAGCACCTGTCAGGAACCTGATGCCACAGGTAATGCAACTGGACAATTGTATATAGAGTGCAATGGTGGCCACCCCACCTTTTCAGTATTTTTCCCATTATTATTATTATTATTTTTTTAAGTTGTTATTTGAAGACTTTGGTTTGAAGTATGTGTACAGCTTTATCGCTTCTATCCCGCATTGTGAAGGACAATCAAATTAAAAATGATGGAGAAATATAAAAACTTTTTACTCTGAATAGTTCTTTTGTCATGATTTGTTTGTTTCAATACAATGAATTGGGTAGATTTTTTGCAGAATCATGAGTAATATAGCTTTTCACCATGCAGGAATACTACTGTTAAACAAGATTATTTAAAAGCTATGCATACATATACCATCGCATGCATATAGCATCAATTTACAACCTCATAGCTCTCAGTAGGTCAGGCTTTTTAGATTATCATTCAAAATCAATTCCCCTATGGAAAAAATGAATTGGATTTTTTTATGTTCAGAACCCGACTGATGCACTCTATAGCAGCACCTCGCAACACACCTCAGATCACATCATCTAGGTATATTACTCCTGAAATCTCCTTTGGTATTGATTACAAATGACATGACTAAAAACTGTATTCAGTAATATAACCATGTAGATAAAACCTTTTAGGTAATATCATTTGATTACCTTTGATCTAACTCCTTTATTTGGTGTCACACAAGAATAGTGTATATGTATAGAAATTGTTTATTAGCACTGACAGCTCTTAATTTTGGCACAAATAGTAAGAAAGAAAAAAGAAAGAATGAATGAACAAATCAACCAACCAACACTGACAACCCCTAGCACAGGTACTCCAGTATGAACCTGACACACGTCTGATAAGCTGGTTGGGCCAGTTAGGGCCAATTAAATTTGCACTGATGCAAATCTATGGGAAAATTTGTAGAGAAACATGGAAAACAAATCTGTCCTTTCACTTTTGTTCATGGATGGACTTTAGTCCTTTTTATTGCAGGGCAGGACTCAAACACTAAAAATCAAGACTCAAACATAACAGCATTATTGTGTCCTGCCCACTGTTTATGGTTAAAAAATATCATATATTGTTACACTAATCTACCATTAATCACATCAGTATTGCCTAACGTGGATATCCTTAGATATCAAGGGCCATGCCTTTAGTATTTACTGTGTTTTTCTAATCGACAGGCCCTGATGAATGTAAATGCTCGTTTGAGAGAACTATACCCAGACAGCGAGGAGCTGTTTGATATTGTGCTGATGACTAATAATCACGCCCAGGTCGGAGTTCGCCTCATCAACAGCATCAATTACTATGGTAATAACATTTACTAGCCTACAATTTAGCCTTTGATAGCGATCATCATTTCATTCTTTAAAAGATCTTTATTCTACACAGACATAGACCAACATGCACCAAGAAAAAAAAAATAGGAAAAAAGTCTGTGCAGGCACACAAATCAAAATTTGGATAAAGACCGCTACAATGATTTACATAATTTTTTCATAAGGTTTGCAGCACGCAAATGCATATGTACTGCATTCTACATACTATACAAACAATAATTACATAAATTCTCTCTCTGCAGATCTAACTATAGAGAGATTTTGCATGACGGGTGGTGAGAGTCCAATTGGTTACCTAAAGGCCTATATGACCAACCTCTACCTGTCCAAAGATTCAAAGAAGGTACAAGAAGCTATCGAAGAAGGTATTTAAAAAAATGTATGCATTGTGATCTAAATGTGATTTTCATTTCACTGAAGAAGAAAAACTTTAAAGTCTTTAAATTAGCTGAACATGAAGCTAATTTTGCTTTAAGTGGCCATTTTCACAGGAATAGCAGCTGCTACAATGTTCGCCTGCGACAGTGAGAATGAGCTCAGTGACACGCAATTGCGTGTAGCCTTCGATGGAGATGCAGTTTTGTTTTCCGACGAGTCTGAGATTATTGTAAAGGAACACGGATTGGACACTTTCTTTAGGCACGAGAAAGAGTTTGAGAACAAGCCTCTTGCTCAGGTAAACTAAGACTGGGTAACATAACTACTAATGTTCATTATTAATACTGTTACTAATATTTTTTCCATCATGTCGTGTTTGGAGCATGCAATGTCCCTTTTATCCTTAATTTGGCATTGCATCATCCTCTTTTAGGGCCCCCTGAAATGTTTCCTGGAAGCACTGGGTAAACTCCAGCGAAAGTTCTATGCAAAAAACCAAAGAAACAGCTGCCCTATTCGCACTTACCTCGTCACAGCTCGAAGTGCTGCCAGTGCTGGGGCCCGCGTTCTGAAGACCCTACGGAGCTGGGGGTTGGAGGTAGATGAGGCCCTCTTTTTGGCTGGGGCTCCTAAGGGGCCTCTCTTACAGAAGATCAGGCCTCACATCTTCTTTGATGATCAGATGTTTCACATCGAGGGTGCCCAGGAGCTTGGTACGATCGCCGCTCATGTGCCCTATGGGATTGGACAGAAGTATCATAAGGGGAAACGCATAGATACAAGTGATGCAGAAAAAAAATGAAAAGATTTGATTATCAAATGCAAATGTCCCAATTCTTTAGGTACCTCAACACCTATTCAGTGTCTTACATTTGATCTATACAACAGCTAAAATTAAATGTTTACTTATATTAATAATGAGCAGGGAAGTGAAGCACATGCATGAAAGTCTCTGCAAGTTAAAGGTAATTGTATTTATTTATTTGGTTGCATCAGAGAGTTTTGAACCTTGATCTATACAGATAGTTTAAGTTAAATGAATTGCTGGAAATATAAATACAAAGAAGCTACGGTGCTCAAAATTATCTAGTATATTATGTACTGTACTAATGCGTCAGCACTGTAAGGTTAAACTACATGCTGCAGCCCTTTCTTTTTCAAAGAGAATAATGTGCAATTAGATGCATTTACCAATATTTATGCCTTGATCACTATGATTTTTTAAGATGTTTAATCAAGAGTTTCATTTAGAATATTTAATTCTATCTCAGGGAACGGTCGCCGTGATTTTGCCAAGACAGACATGTTCCTGGATCAACATCTTTTGTTGATCCTGGATCAACATTACTGTCCAAAAATACAGACTTAACCCAATCCCCATCCCTAAACCTAACCCATAATTTTTTCCTAAAATCAGAGGGAAATGATAGCTGATTAACAAGGGTGTAGAAGCGCCTAATCCTGATTGTAAGTCTAAAACTGACATTTCCTGAAAAGTTATCTCAATTCTGATTGGTTGATTGGAATGATGTTCCAGGATCAACAAGGATGTTGATCCAGGAACATGTTGTACTTGGTCAAATCACGTTCACCCTCAGGGTCCATACATTGCAACTATCGGTATTTTATTTATATTGCAAGATGTTATTCTTCAAGGTAAATTTAGCAGATGTTTACCTACATTTAGATGTTTTGTTGTAACTTCTTCACTGCTGTACTTCGATATTCAGACTCAATCCTCAGGCAGTTTCCTTCACTGATGTGTGTGTTGTCCACCACCAGTGTTCCTGACAGACCTTGCCACAATAATAAATGAACTAAAACACTGAAATAAGGATAAGAGTGTGAAGAAACTGATATATTGTATTTACAATGTATTATCCCTGTGTGTTTACCATGAGGTGTATGCATGTTTAATTTAGTTTTGTCCACAAAACAAAAATGTGTTGTTGACTGTTAAACACTGGATTTATTCATTATGATGATAACATAAATGAGTGATCTTATTTGGTTTGTGGTTTATCTAGAGCTATTTAGTTTGTAGTCCTAAAACACAGATTTGAATACAAACATAGGTTTAGGAGAAGAGGTTTAGGAGTTTATGTACTTGACAAATTAGACAAATGTTGTAGTCCTTATATGGCAACTAATTAGCAAAATATAATACAAATATAAAAAATCATACACAAGTGGTTATTCTCTCTTTAAACATATTGCTCTTTACTAAAGGATATTTTAACTTCATGTCTATTGTTAATGAAAAGGCAATTTCAAGGGTTTTTTATAGGTTATTAATTTATATCAAACTGTAATCCCTGTTCATCTATTACTGCGGACACATGTGATTTGAGCTTTCATTGCTTGTACAGGTGCATCTCAATAAATTAGAATGTCGTGGAAAAGTTCATTTATTTCAGTAATTCAACTCAAATTGTGAAACTCGTGTATTAAATAAATTCAATACACACAGACTGAAGTAGTTTAAGTCTTTGGTTCTTTTAATTGTGATGATTTTGGCTCACATTTGAACTTTTCCACGACATTCTAATTTATTGAGATGCACCTGTATATAACCAAAAAGCAATACACATGCGTTGCGACATACCCCGCTATGAATTCTGGGTAATGTAGTTCAATAACATTCCGGTTACTTCCCACATGTGTGATTGTTTACGCCTACAAACCTGCTCATGAACTGGACGTTGTTGATGGCCCCAGAAGGATCAACAGTCAAGCTATACCCCATTCTAAACATTTGGATGAAGGCCTCGATATGTTGCGGGGCAAAACTATTATCGTGACCGGGGCAAACAGTGGCATTGGAAAAGCCACGGCTGCGGAGCTGCTGCGGTGTCAGGGCCGAGTGATCATGGCATGTAGGGACCGAGAACGGGCGGAGAAAGCAGCCCAGGAGATCCAGCAGGAGGCCGGAACAGAGCAAGGGGAGCTAGTGATCAAACTCTTGGACCTGGCGTCGCTTAAATCTGTCCGTATTTTTTGCGAAGAGATAATGAAGGTACTACCGTTACACCAAACCAAGCACAGAGCATTTGTTTCTCATTTCAGATATTTAGAACGCTCCAGTAAATATAGGGCACGCGTAGCACGTTTTGGTCTAATTGTTTTCAACTAAGAACAAGTGCACAATACCAACAGCCAAACAATTGTGCGCGAACGTCACGTGCTTTTATGTGAATGATATCACGCTAGAGAAGTTTGGGAAGAGCACGTGGCTGCGCGCGCATGAAACCTTTTTCGAGTGGAATTCATTGGCAAGCTTAAAAAAATCCTTTTGAAAAATTGTGTATCTAAACAATACTATGGGGGAAAACGGGCATAGTTAATAATCTCTTGTTGTAGATATATTTTGTAATCAGTATACAAACATTGTACTATTGTGTATGTAAAGTTTTTATTTTACTACATTAAAAATGGGGGGGGGTGTATGTAAGAGTTTAAAGATTTCATTGTGTATTGCTGTTACTACTGTTTTATCTATGGCCCATTATTTAAAATCTTGTGTATAAAAAAAAGAATAGACAATCAATAGAAGAGAAGTGTATCTAAATTAGCGTAGAATCAAGTTTCATTGATTTCTAGGGTTGTGTGTTTTTTTTCATCTTCTCAACTCTTGTGTTCAGAAATAACTTTTTGTTATTAACTTTTTACAATTTGCCATATCTGTTGTATCTCAAACAGGAAGAGTCAAGGATTGACATCCTGATCAACAATGCTGGAATCTACCAGTGTCCATACACCAAATCAGAAGATGGATTCGAGATTCAGTTCGCCGTCAATCATCTGGGTCACTTCCTGCTCACTAACCTCCTGCTGGATCTCCTCAAACGCTCTGCTCCTAGCCGGATAATTGTACTGTCCTCCAAGCTCTACAAGTACGGTGAAATAAACTTTGATGACCTGAACAGCGAGCAGAGCTATGATAAAGCTTTTGCCTATGCACGGAGTAAACTAGCCAATCTTCTATTCACTCTGGAGCTCTCGCACCGACTCGAGGAGACCGGAGTGACAGTAAATGCTCTCACCCCAGGGATTGTGCAGACTAACCTGGGCAGGCATGTCCACATCCCACTGCTGGTGAAGCCACTATTTAACCTGGCTTCACGGGCCTTCTTCAAGTCCCCTGAGGAAGGTGCGCAGACTTCTATCTATCTGGCCTGCTCTCCGGATGTGGAGGGTGTTCAGGGGAAGTGCTTTGCTAACTGTCATGAAGAGCTGCTATTAGCTAAGGCCACAGATGAGGAGGTGGCCAAGAAACTGTGGGACATCAGTGAGGTAATGGTGGGCATCACAACCTGAAATCTCAAAGATTTAAGAATTTAAGTCACCTGTTCTTTATTATTTCAAAATCGACAACTCTTTAGAAAATAAATTACCATCAAGTATTTTCTCTTGGAAAGAAAACATGCAAAAGGTATGCTTACATCCACAGGAGGGAGCTGTTTTGGCCATTCTTATTCACTTGTGCTTTGAAATGCTAACTGTAAAGTTGCAACTAGCAGATTGTTAGTTCTGCTGCAACAGTAACAATGTGTGTGTGTTTATATATTTTAAATTAATCCAGAGTCATCTTCAGTTATCCTGTTCCCATGCTCCAGTTCTTATGCTGGTCACGTCACTTGCAATCGACACAAATCGTGCATGTTGCCAATGGAGACAAGACGCTGTGGTGCTTAAACGATTAAAACTAATTTAGTACCGTAACGTACAGGGTCCTGCAAGTCATCTGTAGGAGAAAAAGACAAGACCCGCAAATCCGTGGCCACAGAACAGCAGATTATGAACGCAATGCGCAAAGTCTCTCGCTGTGTTTTCCTCCCGTAGAAAAACATAAACACTTAACATGGCTTAATGTATTAAGATGCTATTAAGATATCAAATTCAATATACAGTTTATTAATATTATGAATATGTATGTAGTATTTCCTCCCATACCACAAAACGTGGCATAATGGACTAAGATGATAAAGACCAAACTCAATATGCTCCTCTTCATTATTGAAATATACATAACTAATATGTACAGGCAAGCAGGTGAGCCCAGAATAAACGCAACACGCAAAGTTTCGCGTTAAGCGTTTTTCCATATAGAATAAACTGTCTACAGCTCTTTTATATCATTGTCTTTGTCCATTAAGCTACATTACGTGTTTTATTTATAATGATTTTCTATGAGAGGAAAAGTTTTAACGTGCAATTTAACGCATTGCGTTCTGGGCTCGTCTGCTTACCTGTACGGAGTTAATCCTTTTAATATCACTTAATGAATTTCATAATGCATGTTCATATTTGCTGGTCTGTATATACTTTGAGTCAACAACAACACATATAGGCTACTGAATTGTCTTTATCATCCGTTATTATGCCACATTAAGCGTTTTGCTGTATGGGAGGACAAGTGAAAGTTTGCGCATTGTGTTCATGGCCAACTGCTTGTAGTACATTAAATAATAACTATATATCGAATTTGATCTTTTAATTGCACTTAATGTATCTTAATACATTAAGCCATATTAAGTGTTTGTTTTTCTACAGGAGGAAAACGCTTAATGAGAGACTTTGTGCATTGCGTTCATATTCTGCTGTTCTGTGGCCACGGATTTGCGGGTCTTGTCTTTTTCTTGCAGGACCATGTACGTTATAGTAGACTAAATTAGTTTTAATCGTTTAATCACCACCACAGCGTCTTGTCTCCATTGGCAACACGCACGATTTGTGTCGATTGCAAGTGACGTCGCAGGTAGCGGAGAGTGCAAGTGACATTGTAATTTAGTTTCTTTTTTATTGTCTTCACCACCTGGCTACTGTTGAAAAATGTTGAGAGATTCAGACAAAAAGTAATCAATAAATAGAACAAAATACAAGATAAAAAAAGACTGCAAGTGATGTCCATTGCGGAAGCGCAAGTGTCTGAGAGTGCACGTCTGAGAATGCAAGTGCAAGTCTGCAGCCAGACCCTCTTGTGCTAGTCAGGTTCATAGATTTCAAAACTATGTGTGTTCAAATGTGTTGGTTAAGACTAAATGCGTTATTAACTGAAGAATCACCACAAATAATGTAGTTTACAAAGACTAAACCCCTTCTTTGACTGAAAATGTGTGCAAATAGTACTAAGAATTTCTGATAGCAATATTGTGCCTAAAATCTGTTGTTACACTTTTCTGCTGTTGGAAGTGAAACAGTTAACACTGCATTTGATTTGCACTTCTCATACTGAAGATTAGTGGAAATACATTCTCAGAGTACTTAATAAAGATGCATTAAACAGAAGTACAGTAGTATCTCAGTTCTGATTATACATTGCATTGTATATTATGCATTTGCAATGGCGAAATGCTGATCTGTGATATTGTGATAATATACTATACACACTTTTAAGTGTAACTGCACAAAGAAAAATATTTTAAGCTCAGGCCTATTTTTTATTTTTTTTATAAAAATTCAAATTTAAGGAGTTGTGTGTTTTACTCATTGAAAATAAAGGAATGTAAATAATTGAAATATATATAATTTTTTTTTTTTTTATTCCGACAGTGAATCTTTTTATTTTACATTTAGACATTTAGCAGACGCTTTTATCCAAAGCGACTTACAAATGAGGACAATGGAAGCAATCAACATCAACAAAAGAGCAATGATATGCAAGTGCTATAACAAGTCTCAGTTAGCTTAATGCAGTACACGTAGCAAGGTTTTTTTTTTTAAATCTCATAATAAATAAAAGGAAAACAGATAGAATAGAAAA